ACTCTATTAAAAAACTCCTTGCAATTTTAAAGACCTCTATCAGGTCACCTTCTTTGTTCCAAAGCATCCCTGATACTTTGAGCTCACAATTTTGACCCGAGTTTAATTGTGTCATGTAACATATTTTATACCGTGAAGTCAGACCGAATACGCTACAGTTCGCATTACACGGTGTCCATTAAGTTTTGTAAGTCATTACGCAGAGCGATGTGGGAGCAACTCAGGTCATTGCTATCAGATCTCACTGATCCCTTCATGGTCTGATGGATTATTTTATTTCTTATGTTCCATATATCATATTTATTGATAGGGTAGGTTTTAGAGGATTTGCCCTTAAATGGTTAAAGGTTATACATTTTTAAATCGTGCAATAACTGCTCCTTACAAATGTAGCAGGAAACCATTAAACTGCCCTGCGTTCTCTTCCGTGCTCACAGGGATATGTTCCATAACATTGACGAATGGAGCAGAGCAGAGAGAGAGACAGAGCAGAGCAAGCAGTGAAGGAGCGAGAGAGAGAGGAAAGAGAGAGCGAGAGAACACACAGAGAAGATAGAGAGCAGAGCAAAGAGAGACAGAGAGCAAAGAGCGAAAGCAGAGAGAGCGATAGAGAGAGAGAGTGCAGAGTAAAGCAGAGAGAGAAAGCTGAGAGAGAACAGAGCAGAGAGAGAGAGCGAAGCAGAGAATCAGAGTGGAAAGAACGCAGAGTAGAGCAAAGCAGAGAGAGAGAGACAGCGATAAAAGAGCAGAGAGGGAGAGAGAGCAAAGGAGAGAGCAGGGCAAGAGCAGAGAGAACAAAGCAGAACAACAACAACAAATTACATTTTTACAGCGGACTTCACATTGGGAGGACGTCCCAAAGCGCTGGACAGTCAGGGATTTGCACCCACATTGGGGGTTGGGATCAGGGAGGGTGGAGGGCAGGGAGGGTGGGGGTAAGAGGATGACTGATGATGCAGTCGAAGAGGAGGGTCTTGAGACGGGCCTTGAAGGAAGGGAGGGGGAGAGGCGAAGGGACTGTGTGATGGAGTTCCAGAGGGTGGGGGCAGAAAGACTGAAGGCCCAACCGTTGAAGTTGGGGTGGGCCATTGGGGATGGGGGGGAGTGACGACTTGGAGCAGGCTGGAGCCCAGTACGGAGTTAGCAGGTCACGGAGGTAGGGAGGAGCAAGGCCATGGAGGGCTTCGAGAGCAGAGACCAAGAGAAGAGAGAGGAGAGCAAAGCTTAGCCCACTCACATAAACAAACTCCCAGCAACCTGTACACGGACTGCAATGCCAGCCCACGTGACTGCCAACCTTATTATCCCTTCAGTGAAGCCACAGCCACCGCTGAACTCAGCTCACCGGGCACAGGATGATTTATAAAGAAAGCTGAAAAATTTTTACTTTAAAAATAATTTATAGACCGTTCTAACGTAAGGAATAACAAATGCCTGTCACTGACTTTAAGACAGTAATTCAATCCTGAGGTCCTGGTGATGTTTATAAACCACTAAAGGTCCATTCTCATTGAATTACTGCCTTATATCTCACCACCATCTATCTATCCATCACGGCAGATACTGCACACTGTGCATGATAATACTGGACAATCAGAATATAACAGGAAGAGAGGAGATGAAGACATTTTAGTTGTAGCATATCTCTATGTGGGATTAGGGGTTTTGTGACTTTGAAGGGAGGGGAAAGAAATACACTCACAAGATCGGTTCATGTGCCTTTCAACCCTTTTGATCTCATCCTTACAGCAAGTATACCCAACCCACAATCTTCCACCTTTCATGAATATTATTACCCTTATTACTGTTATATAATAATAATAATAACCCTTGTATTCAAAATAATGCCTTGTCTTGTTGAAATTGAGTGGGGTCTCATAACATAGCGGTCAGCACACTCTCCTCGCAAGTGAGAGAACCTGGGTTTGATTCCCGGGCCGGGTGAAACCTTAGGCAAGTTTCCTTACTCCACACACCTCTGTTTGCCTAGCAGCAAGTGGGAACCAGGTAATTAATCGATTGACGGATCGCTTTTTGCTGGTAATAATCCCTCAAAAAAAATCCACAACTGTTTGAGTGACACTGCTGTGCTCAATTGGCTGCTGCGTTTCACCCACAAAATAGGCGGTCCGTCCACTTTACAGTGTATTCTGTGAAGCGCTTTGAGACGTCTCAATGACGTGATAAATCACTATATCAATTGCAAGGATTATTATTTTTAAATGCCTCAAATCAATGAGTAGGATTTCCCGTAAAGTGTAGTAGTGACTGTGTGTTTTGTAGGTGAATGCACCAGCCACAGAAATGCAGCAGTGTACACACCAACAGTCATTAAGGACCAATTTTGTCTGAGGGATTCTTGGCCAGGACACCAGAGGTAAATCCTGTGAATCATTCTGAGACGCCCTCCTGACACGAAAGGCGCTACTGTATATCAAATGCAAGGATTATTATTTATTATACAGGCACTCCAAGGTCGGGCTCTCTTCATTGCTCTAATATTAGACGTAAAACAACTACAACGAACATTACAAATTTTACCTGTCGTCACATTTAACCTCTGAAAAGATTGTCAGAGGCGCTTTCTAAGTTGGAAGGATTGGGTCTGAGTGGCTGAGACCACATTACTTATATAAACAATACAACACACAATTACATTTGCAAAGCGCCTTTCACGTAGGGAGGACGTCCTAAGGCGCTGAACAGCCGGGGATTAGGAAGGAGGCAAGGGAGGGAGTGAGGCGAATGGAACGTGGGATGGAGTTCCAGAGAGTAGGGGCAGAGAGGCTGAACGCCTGACCGCCGATGGTGGGGCGAACAGGGCGGGAGACATTAATTAATTTATTACTCTCTCTGACACTTATAATAATAATCCTTGCATTTGATATAGCACTTTATCACATTGTTTTGACGTCTCAAAGTGCTTCACGGAATATACTGTAAAGTGAATTGACTGTGCATTTTGTGGGCGAAACGCAGCACAACGGTGTCCACCAAACAGTTTGTTCCTCCGGGTCTGGCCTCCTCCTCGTCCCCCGAGTCCTCCTCTCCACCCTCGGCGGTTGTGCCTTCAGCCACTATGCCCCGAGGCTCTGGAACTGCCTTCCTCACTCCCTTCGTCTCGCTTCCTCCCTTCCTATTTTCAGGTCTCTGCTGAAGACCTTTCTTTTCGACCGCGCTTTTGGTCACCTTCCTCCCCCTCCCCCTGGCTCGATCCCTGGATCTATGACTGTAAAGCGCTCTGAGATGCCGTCCGGCGTGGAGGGCGCTATATAAATCCAAGTTGTTGTTATTGTTGTTGGATTGAGTGACCAAATTATTGTTATTGATTTTTTGGAAGTGGTTATTACGCCCGGAAAACTATGTGCCAATCGACTAACAATCGGGATCCTACTTATTGCTAGGTAAACAGAGTCGTGTGGAGTAAGAAAACTTGGCTAAGGTTTTGCCCTGCCCGGGAATCGAACCTCTTGCTTGCAAGGCAAATGCTCTAACCAATACGCTACAGGACTCCAGGGTTGAAAACAGACAGATCTATGTAGTTCAGAGTTAAAGAGGCCACTGTTACACCTCCATAGGATGATTGAGGGTGGGAAAACCAGGAGTAGCCTTTGGAAACTCATCACAATCTCAAGACGACTGGGAAAAATATGGTAGAAATGTTTTCTTAATTAAATATATATGGATTCAGCTTGTTATATCTAGTCCTTCCAATTTAGGATGTGCCCTCTGTCAATCTTTTCAGTAGGTTAAATGTGACGACGGCTAACATTTTAGTTGATTAAATTTATCCTATTTTCTTAGCATTTCAGAACGTGCAGAATTTGGAAAAGTGTTAAATGGAGTCTCAATTGCGAGGCTGTTTTTTTACTGTAAATTTTGTTTGAAGGCCTACAGAAAACTGACCGCAGTGTTCGGACAGAAATCAACACTTTCAGACAACAACAACGTTGATGTGTTGAACATGATAAAGGGATCTGATAGGGTAAATACAGAGAAACTATTTAATCTGGTGGAGAAATCCAGAACAAAGAGGACATAATCTTGAAATTAGTGCCAGGCCATTCAGGAGTGAAATTAGGAGGCACTTTTTCAGACAAAGGGCAGTGGAAATCTGGAACAAAAGGCTGTGAATGCTGGATCCATTCACAATTTCAAGACTGAGGTGCTAAGTAAACAGAGGCGTGTGGAGTAAGGAAACTTGCCTAAGGTTTCCCCCTGCCCAGGCATCGAACCAAGAACCTCTCACTTACTAGGCGAGCATGCTAACCACTATGCTCCAGGACTCCACAATCATTGTTCAGCATTATTACCACATCTATTAAGGCCCCATTCTACAAAGCGCTTTGCAGAGGCAATATTGCCACCATGACAATGTTCCTTTCAACCACTTGGCCTTCTGTGTTTGCAAGCCAAAGATTATTGTTATTAATAGCTCGCAGTGGTGAGTAGCGAGTTAATCGCTCTTGACTGAAATGTTTAACATTGGGGGGAAATAAAAAATGCTATGATAATGGTAGGTTGGCACATTAGTAATACTTTACTGGAACCATTAAATCTCTCCCCTATTCCAATTCACTCCACTCAGTACTGGAAAAAATGACCGACGAGGCAAGCAAATGCAGTACTTTAAAGCATGGGACGAGAATTTGTCTGCAAGCCCATAAAACGATGCTGGATACCTGAATAACATACACACTCACACATACACAGGGAGAAATTCCACCTAGATATTGAGCTACTTCATTTCGTCCACAAAATACACCATCTCTACACATTACAGTGTGAAATGCTATGTAAATAGAGTAAATCTAGACCCAGCTGGAATCTTTCCCTAACATGCATTCGCTCTGCCTGTCTCTCTGTGTTGGAAATGCACAGCTTGTTGATAAGCCCCTGAAAGCCAATGGTTAGTTAGGCTAATGTTCCGGGCGTGACTGGTCATGGTGAGTCAGTCGGTGCTTTGTTTCCACGCGCGGTGGAATAAAGGAGCCACTTACCGCTTGGGCATAAGCACCGTACGCGCCGAACTGGATGGCCATCGGGTTGAACATCCCCATCTGTCCTGCCATCTGCTGCATGCGACGCATCGTACGCTCCTTATCGGTGTCCGCAAATTTTACCACGAGGCTGGAGGAAGCCCCCTGGAAGGCAGAGAGAGAAACGTCAACGCGGGTTGTCATGCAGCAGCGTAACATGGTCAGCAACACACTGCACACCGCTACCTACTGCTCCGCCCTCTTCCTGTCTTCCATTTGCAGTGTAGCAGAGCATCGGGAAGGCACAGGATCAGGACAGACTGGCCCAGTCCATCTGATCCATCCCAATATCAAAACGTACATTTCAAAGGATTGCTGTTTCTTAAATTAGTTTTTTTTTGGTCACCCGGGTGTCTGACACCTGCCGACACCCAGCACCGAGCTTCACAGTATCCAAACCAAACTGAGATTTCCATGCATCCCATCTACACATGGAAATTCCAGCATCCTGGCCTCAACCATCCTTCCTGATTACCTGTACAAGCAGTTGATTACCTTTTCTTTCTTTCTTTCTTTCTTTCTTTCTTTCTTTCTTTCTTTCTTTCTTTCTTTCTTTCTTTCTTTCTTTCTTTCTTTCTTTCTTTCTTTCTTTCTTTCTTTCTTTCTTTCTTTCTTTCTTTCTTTCTTTCTTTTTCTCTCTCTCTCTCTTTCACCCTCTCTCTCTCTTTCTATCATTCATTCAGTGTCTCCATATACTGCGCCACACAGGGCATTTAAATGTGTTTCTGCAAACATTACTCCCAACAATTGATGCTCTTTCATTTTGCATATCCTGCAGTAAAGTATTTTTTAATGTGTAAAATCATTTCCTACTCATTATCATTAGAATAATTTCTTAATTGCATTAAATTTGTGTCTCAATTAAAAAAAAGTGCTAATTTATTTGATTAATTCCAGTTAAGCAAATAGCTCGTTTGCACCCAAATGTCAGTCAAATGTCAGAAACGCTCACCAAACAAGAACTTCTGATTGAAAAACATTAACATGTTACTAGTTTTGCATCCGAGATGTAATCAAAATATATGTGTATCAATATCAACTTGTTAGTTTAAAAATAAATACATTTTTCTCCCACAGACGCTACAGTCCTTCCCTAGTGATTCTGTTCAGACAAGATGACTTCAGGGGATGGCAATTAATATTCCAAACGCCTCTCGACTCAAAGCTTCGTAACAGGATGTAAATAATGTAAGAATGTCAACCTGACTCTGTGGTTCAGTCGGAAGAACTCAAGAACTCTGGCCTCAAGGGGTGGGGGCGGTGATACGTAGGTTCAAGACCCACTGGAAGCTTCCATTCCACCATTGCTGGCTGCGCTTTCAGCCACTATGCCCCGAAACTCTGGAACACCCTTCCTCTATCCCTGCGCCTTTCTTCCCCATTTCAGGTCGCGCCTGAAGACTTTCCTATTCGACTGTGCCTGCGGTCACCTCCCGCCCGCCCTCCCTCCCCCCAGCTCGGCGTTGTGCTCCGCCACCGTCAAGCACTCTGGGATGCTCCCCTACGTGTGGGCCGCTACTCTCTCATCCTCGTGTTACACCATTGATGGGTGAGCTCCTATTCTCTTGTCTCTGGAACTCTCTTCCCCCAAATCGCCTTCTCAGTGTATCCTCTCTCCTCCCTATCAAACTGCTTTGTGTTGCAGTGCTTGAGTCTGGCCAGCAGGTGTCACTGTGGCAGCGCTGTTTTACGCAGTGCATTGGCAGGTCTCAAGGGTCCTGGACAGGCTTGAGAACCAGTGGATGGGAGTGTGGGTGGGAATATTATTTATAAAGTGAAAACTTACTCACTGGCGGCACGCAACCATCAATCGTGTTTCCTGACCCGAAGAACCCCACGAGCACAGTTATTATTTTCAAGGAAGGAGGTGGAAAAAAAATTAAATCATTTGAGAAACAATTCCCAGTGCCTTTTTATGATAATAATTATCCTTGGAATTGATACAGCGCCCTTCACATCAGGAGGACGTCTCACAACACTTTGCGGGATTTACTGTTAGATGTGTTTGCCTGCAAAAACAGTATTTTGCAGGTAAACACAGCAGTCGATTTGAGCACAGGAAGGTCCCACACACAGCCATGGAGCGAAGGACCATTTTTATCTGGGGGATTGTTGGCCAGGACACTGGGAGAAACTCCCTCTACTCAATCCTTGGCTGTTTGTGGGACAATTGCTGTGTGCAACTGGCTGCCCCATTTCATCCTCAAAATACACAGTCAAGTGCATGTGTGTTCAAAGTCTTGATATGGGACTTGAACCCACAACTTCCTGACTCAGATGAAAGAGTTCTACCAACTGAGCCAGGATGATACATGGCTTTTCCTAACTCTTTCTCACCTTTCTGGTGTTACAGCTGCTATATTGATACAGGAGGGTCAGGCATAGAACCTCTTGTGTTCCTACCTCGGACTCTCCTGCTGGAATGTTCCTCTCTACGTTCGGTAAGAAGACTGAAGAAGAGGAAACTATTGCTGATCTCAGCAGCTGTACAGCTCATTCCAGATGTGACTTAGTGTAATTTATATTGCAAAGAGGGAATGGAATTAATGGGCAAATAAAAACAATTTACATAATAGGAATTTTGCAGCTGAAAGCACTTCCTCAGAAAACACCTGAGGCTTTTCCTCTTCAACTGCGCTTGTGATCACCTCCCTTTTCTCCCCGGCTCGGCATTAAACTACGCAACTGATAAGTGCTCTAAGATGCTATACCACATGAAGGGCGCGGTATATAAATGCAAGTTTTCCTTTCTTCAGAATTGAATTTAATTGAAGCGTGAGCTGGTAAAATATCCCGTGTATATCCGCTTGGGTATATATTTGTGTATTTGTGTGTACTTACGTGTGTCCATGTGTATATATGTGTGCAGTTGTGTGTGAAAGAAGTGTTAAGTGTTAAGTGTTAAGCTCACAGCTACAACCTTGCTATGTGAAGTGCTGAGTGGAATAATCTCCCAGAAGATATCTAGGGTCCTGTACCTTTAACAAAGCCCAAGCTTGCAGACAGAGCTTCCAAAGGCAAGCTATGTGGTTTTAGCTGGTTAAACTCCAGCAGTTACCCCAACGCACACTCTGAGGTCCCCAAGCCTTGGTTCTGGCGAAGGAGCCTTCCCTCGTCTCTTTCAAGTTCCGTCTCAAGACCTTCCTCTTTGACCGTGCCTTCGATCATCCTCTCCCCCCCAGCCCCTTGGCCCCAACCCCTCCTGAATACAACTCCCAGCTCGGGTGCAAACTCTTGACAGTCCAACACCTTGGATATCCTCCTGACTTGAAAGGCGCTATATAAATATGATTTGTGCTGATGTTGTTGTTATTGTTGTTGAAACGCTCCGCCCTTTCCTGGCCAAACGACTACGGGAAACAATCTCACCGGCCGGTTGCACCATTGGCGTCTCAGAGGGCGAGACCCAGGGCTTTCAGCCCAAACTGCCCGGCTCCTTTAAGAGCAGCCCGACTGCAATACACGAGTAGCTTGTGGGAATGGATTGAGTCATTTTTCAACACGTGCTCGCTCTCTGCTGCTTCCAGTCAGCGTTCAGACAGGTTTGTTCCAATCTTTTTTTTACCGCGTTCACCAAAATCCCTTCCCTCCTCTCCATTCCGCCCACAGAGCCGAGTCAGAGCCGGAGGTGACCGTAGGCCCAATCAAAGACGAAGGTCTTCAGGTGTGATTTGAAGATGGTTAAGGAGGGGGCAAGGCGGAGGGATTGAGGAAAGCTACCGTCTCAAACACTGCTGCCCCAACCATCCCAGTCCCCCCATCCTATCCCTCTCTCCTCAACTACTTTACAGTATATCCTTTGAGACGTCTCGACGACATGATAAGGCGCTGTATCAAATGCAAGGATTATTCTTCCAGCTGCTTGCACCCCACACAGGTGGCAATGGGTTAGAGTGAGAGGAGACTCTCTCGCCCTCCCCACTTCTCAGTGAGCGATTGAGGAGGAGAAGGGAGGGAGGAGGGAGGGAGGGAGGAAGGAGGAGGCGGAGAAGGGGAGTGGGGGTAAGTGAGCTCCTGCAGTTGGGTGATTCATGCCGCCTGGGATGAAAGTGCTGAGCACGAGGTCCCTTTTCAGGTGAATTATCCCATAGCTTCGGCAACACACAAATGGTAATGCCTCGAGCTGTCAGTTTACCTGCACAGATTGTTTTTGTGTCTGTGTGTGTGTGGGAATTGTTTAAATAATTAACTGGGGGGGAGGCAGTTTGTGTGTACCGGTGTGAAGTACAAAGACAGTGAGCACAGAGGAAATCCAGGCTGGCCCAAGAAGACTGTTAAATTCACGGAACAAAGCGAAAAGAAGCGCTGTGTGAAACGCAGGTTATCCTGCTCCAAAACTCCATCTGTAAGTTACAGACAGAGAAATAATAATAATAATCATAATCCTTGCATTTGATACAGGACCTTATTACATTGTCGAGACGTCTCAAAGGGCTTCCACAGGATATGTGTAAAGTGAATTGACCGGCTATGTTGTCAATTGGCCAAAATAAATAAACGCAGTCTATGGCTTTGTGCAGATGATCTTTTTTTCTCTGGAAGCCGGTTTGCTTAGACCGGTTGGTCGCTAACGTCATTTTATTCGGAGCCGCTCAAGCTTGCCTATCCCTCTCTCCTCTAATTGTCAGTCCAACAGGTAAGTTCTTAGTCTCATGAAAGCAGAGTGGCTTCAAGCCTCTGGAGACCAGCTCTGCCTCTGAGGACCACGTTACTGTCCGTGTTGGTCTGTTACTCTGTACGTTCCTGTAATGCCTGGAGCGGTTTCACTGCAGGTTAAAGTGACTTTTCACAACGCTAATTTCACATCACAGTAAGTTGAAAAGTTGTCATTACTTCTGCCCGCCTTTGTGTTCACCAACTAAATGTGTCGTAATGTAACTCGCTTGGATTCTAATGTTCCTTCCTTCGGTTCGGTTCAGTAATAATAATAATACTCCTTGCATTTGATTTTGACATAGCGCTTTATCACATCATCGAGACGTCTTAAAGCGCTTCACAGGATATACTGTAAACTGGACTGACGTATATTCTGTGGGCGAAACGTGGTAACCACTGGTTTGGTAACTGCAATGATAACGTTTCCATTTCCTCTCATTTTTTTGTCG